GTGATCTTTGCTCTCAAAATCTGGCGTCATTATCTCTATGGTACAACCTACGAGATTTATACTGATCACAAGAGTCTAAAATATCTATTCACACAGAAGGAACTGAATATGAGGCAACGGCGGTGGTTGGAATTTATGAAAGACTACGATATAGAGATCCATCACCATCCGGGCAAAGCTAACGTGGTGGCAGACGCACTAAGCCGAAAGACGACGAGAAGTTTGGCGTGTACTCTCATTTCCCGCAAGATCAATGGGTTGCTCGCCAATGTAACCGTGGAGCCTATATTGATTGAAGAAATTAAAATGCGCCAACGGGAAGATAAACTTTTGAAGAAAAGGTACGAGGAACAAGGAAAACGCCTGATCCTGATTTCATTATAAGCAATTGGATGCTGGAATTTCAGAATCGAATTTGCATACCCGACATCCCAGAACTCAAGAAGAAGATACTGGAGAAAGCTCATAACTCAAGATTTGCAGTCCACCCTGGCAACACAAAGATGTACCATGATCTGAAGGAATACTACTGGTGGACCGGAATGAAAAGAGACATAGCAAGCCATGTTTCCAAATGTTTCCAATGTCAACGAGTTAAGGCAGGGCATTAGAGACCTGCAGGACTGCTACAGCCACTCCCTATGGAAATGGGAACACATTACCATGGATTTCGTTATTTGATTACCATAATCATCCTCAAAGAACGATGCAGTATGGGTCATAGTAGATCGACTAATGAAATCAATACATTTCCTACCCGTTAGAGTCATGTACTCTCTTAACAAATTTTCCACTTTATATATCAAGGAGATCATTCAATTGCATAGCGCCTCGGTGTTGATTGTATCAGAACAAGTTACAAGTAGCTTTGGGAACAACATTAAAGTTTAGCACCGCTTATCACCCACAAACTGATGGACAATTCAAAAGAATGATTTAGATGTTGGAAGACATGTTGTGGGTATGCGTATTAAACCTTAAAGCTAATTAGGATGAACATCTACTGTTAGTGGAATTCGTCTATAACGATAGTTACCATGTGAACATTGGAATGGCATCATATGATGTGCTATATGAGAGGAAATGTCGATCGCATGTATATTGGATAGAGGTTGGAGACAAAAAGTTATTAGGTCCCAAAATTGTGCAGATGACAAGTGATAAAATTCAACTCATCCAACAACGAATTTGCACTGCCCAGAACTGCCAGAAAAGCTATGTAGATACACAGAGATGAGATTTGGAATTTCGAGTAAGAGATCATGTTTTTTTTAAAAGTCTCACCAACAAGAGAAGTTATGTGGTTTGGGAAGCGAGGAAAAATTGAACCTGCGTTACATCGAATCATTTGAGATACTAGAAAGGATTGGCCCTATAGTATATCACCTTGCACTACCACCAGAATTGTCTAATGTTCATAATGTGTTTCATGTTTCAATGCTACGACGATACCTTAGAGATTCAGAACATGTTATTGATCATGAAGGCCTGGAAGTTTAAAAGGATCTCTCATATGAAGAGCAACCAATACAGATTCTCAACTGTCGCAATTAGATTCTCCAAAACAAAACTATACCTCTTGTAAAAGTCTCATGGAAAAATCATTGTATCAAAGAAGCTACATGGGAAACTGAGAATCAAGTGCGAACTCGATATCCACACATCTTTTCAAAAATCAAGGTACGACAAGTTTGGGGACAAACTTCTATTTAGAAGGGGAGAAATGTGACACCCTAAATGAAATGTTTAATTAGTTTTAACACAGTATTAATATCAACTAATCATGATTAAAAAGAAATAGAGAGGGAGAGTATATTTAATGTGTTAAAAGGTAACTTAATTTAATTTGAGGGCCATTATTTTCTATCAAAAAAAAATTATAATGCAATTATTTTTGGTTTTTGGGCCATAGTATAAATGTTCATTTGCTTTGGATAAACCTTGCCCAAATGATAAAGGATGAGGTACATAGAACCTGGCAATTAAGGCACATGGAACTTGGCAATTAAGGCAACGTGGCAAAGCTCTTATTCTTGGCCCTCAAGTCTTGTTGATTGAATCACCTATATAAATAGGTGAACTCCTAGAGGTTGAAGCAAACAAGGGAGAAACTTGAATCAACATAGTGAAAGTGCTTCGGAAAATGAAAAGTAAAGTTAGAAATTGCTATTAAGGTGAGTTATATTATATTTTGAGCTACATGAATAACTTTATGTAAATTATGTTTTGCAAATTATATTAATTTTTTAAGTAAATTATTTGTTAAATGAACCCTATTTGCTTAAAATGTAAAACCTATGGATATAACTGTTTATTAAATGTGTTTTTTAGCAATCATTTTATAAGTTCCATTACGGAGGTCCCATGTTTTGGAGGACTTAAACAACCACTGGCCCTCTGAATTATCACTTTAGTGACCCTCTGACTGTCCAATGCCTTAGGGGATTTAAATAACCATTGGTCCTCTAATTTGTCATTTTAGTGACCCTCTGATTGTCACTTTGATGACCTTCTGGTGTATAGCAAAGTACTGTGCAGAGTTAAATGCTGCACTATTGTACGAGTCACCTCTAGAGTCTGTACAAGCCATCTTTTGAGTCCATACATGAGTATCCAATGACCCATTGTTCTATTCTGTACCATGGTTATAATTATTTTGCACATATTATTTCTTTATTATGTTTCTGTTATTTAAAATGATTAATTTATTTGAACCAAACTATTTTATCCTAAATAATAATTCATGGTGACTTTTATACCCTTATGCTCATAGTATAATATTTCTCACTCTACTATGTGTACTTATAGTTGTTAAATATTTTCCAATGATAAGGCTTAGGGAGGGGTTTTAACCCCTTATTCATAAGTTGGAAATAGTAAGCGGAGTAGGCACATGACACTTTGTAAACTTAGTCTAGCTCTGGCAATATAATAAATAAAAGCTTCAATGTATATTTTAAATAAAATAAATATTTGGGTACTCTTTATTTTATTCTGCTACATTATTAACTTGTTAAATTTTGAATTGGCCTTTGATGACCTTAGTTATTGTCTAGTTACAACATCTAATCTCTAGGTACTGGGGTTGGGTCGTGACAACTGGCCGATTACTATATCGTCTTGTTTGGGATGGTTTGGGGTCATCAGAGATTTGTCAGAATATTCAACTTCACCGAAAAGTCGTTGGAGTATCGTCAAAGTGTTCTGAACGTTATTAGAAGTCGTTGGAATGTCAAGAACATTCGTTTGACGTCAAGAATATCTTCGGAGACTCATCGTAATGTCTTGAATATTGCCAAAAAAAGAATAAATAGAGAAATTAGAACGAAAAAACATAGCAAAATGTGTTAAATATTAATAAACTGAACGGAAAAAAAAAACATAATAACAACAAATAACAATAATGAGAAGAAAAAAAAAACATATGTTATTTCTCAATTTTTGTAGGGTTTAAGTAAATAATCTCCAATATTAATTAAATTGAAAAACAAGTTTTGAAATTGTAAAATGTTACAGTTTCAAAGTATAATCCTATTAAATATTTATCCTTATTAATCAAACTGAAAAAACATGTTATGAAGTTGTAAAATTTTACGATTTTAAACCATGATTTATTTTAGCACCAAAACAATTGAAATTGTAAAATTTTTCAATTTTCATCGCCTGTAACTAAAATTTGAAAATAACATGTTCAAAATTTGAAAATTTTCTCTATTAAAACATTAAAAGAGAAGTGTATAGTAGAATAAAGGTTTAAAAAAAAATTAAAAAGAAGATGAAGAAGAAGATCGAAGGAGATAGACAAATATAGAGAGACGATTATACTCTGGCAATTATTTTTTATTTAGTAGATATGATGTAGATTTATTTAGGACTATGATTCTTCGTTGGAAACTCATCTCCTTTGCTGTCATTGAGGGTGAAGTCGGTGGTCGATGATTGCCAATGAATCCTAATTGATGGTGGTTGCCGATCGTCGATAACTATATATCAACAAGAGAGAGAAGAAAGTAGGTGTGATCGCAGATCGTCAGAAATCTAGATCTAGAGAGACAGAGAGAGATAGAGAGGCGAACAACTTGTAAATAGATTTTGATGAACAGGACAGTGAGGTAGACTTACTGAGCACTTTTGTAATATTTGTCAATTTTTTTTTTTTTTTTTTTTTAGGTCTAAACCACCGGTATCCTGAAGTCCACAGGACCCCGACTAATCCGGTTCGAGCCGGGTAGGACCACATGGGCGGCAAAGCTCTCCCAACAAATTTTTAACATAACTACGTTCCCAAGTTTCAAATCCGAGATCTTGATTAAGCTAATATAGCCCCTTACCAACTAAGCTACGTGCTTGTTGGTAAAATTTTGTTAACTAAATACATTACACCTTTTTCAAAAAAAAAAAAAAATTTGTGGATAATATGTCGTTGGGTTATGTTTAAATAGTGCTCGCCCAATGGGCCCGCCCACTTAGACCCTTTCCTCGCACAGACACTTATACGTTTTAGGGTTTGGTTCCCTCCGTTGGAATCTGATGTCTGGTTGGCTTAAAATCTAAAAGCGATAAAAGGGCGTACCTATAAAACCCGAGAGCGGGAGAGAGAGATTCAGCGTGTTCTGTTTTGTTGGGGAGGACAGATGAGAAAGCAATCTTTGTCCCCTCCCCAACACACACATATATAGATTGACTTAACAAATATGCCGACACTAACGAAGCTATATACAATGCGAGAAGCTTCCCAACACAACACCAAGGACGATTGCTGGGTCGTCATCGATGGCAAGGTATGTTACTCCTTCAATTCGTTTCATTCTGATTCGAGCTTGTTCACATATGATGTGTATGCTATGAAATCTACAATTGAAATAATTGATAGATCTAAAAAATAAGTTAAAAAGAAAAGAAAAGAAAATGAAATTGAAACAATTTTGGTTGTAGAATTTTTTTTTATATAATAGGTATAGATGTGTGTGTATGGTTTTGTGTTGTATGATTTTTCATTAGTTGATTTTGTATTTTTTGATGTGTTAGTATGTGTTGAATGTTGAAATCTTGTAGTTTGAATTGTTAGCATGGGAGTGCACTAAGTGTTAGCAATAAGAACAACATGATTTTGCCTTGGAACAGGGATGCTGCACGTGCAGGCTCGTGTGCAGCCAGCTGCAGAATGATTTTTGGGTTCAGAAAATTGGGCCGCACATGCAAAGTTGGCTGGTTGATGTAGTTAGAACTAGTGTGGTTGTTATGTTTAGCACCATAAGAGTTAGTTAGAATTAGCTGGGTCTGTTATCCTATAAATAGGTGGTTAGACTTCTCTAGTATTCAGTTTTATGATATTTTGATATTGAATATTTTTAGAGTTTGAGAGCTCTTGTACCTATTTTGAGATTTTTTCTCTAATGAAATCTCTTTCTTGATTGGCTCCATCATTTTGGTATCAGAGCTCTAGGATTGGTCCTTTGTTCCTATTCTAGATTGCAAGAAGGATTTCAAGAACCCTGTTCAATTGCAAGAACCAAATTTGTTGATTGAAAATCTGAAACCCTAGTTTAGCCCTAATTCTGGCTACCAAACCCAGAATTCTTTTCAATTCCCTAATGAAATTTGGAGATTACAGTTGAGTTATAGCAATTGGAGGATCATTAGGAACCTTCAATTGAAGTGTTTCTCTTTTGTGAATTGATTGTAGCCTTTGCATAGTGTCTTGTTCTTGGTTGAAGTCGTAGATCTTGTTCTTGATTGAAGTTGCAGATCAAGCTTTGCGGATCAAGCTTCCATCTGGACCTTGACTTGCGACTGAAGTTCCTCGTTGCTCTTGTGTTCGTAGGTCGTCTTTGCAGGTCAAATCTCAACCTCGATTTGGCCTTGCGATTTGATTTCGCATATTGAAATCAGACCTGTGTTTGATCTTGTTCATCGAAATCAGACGTGGGTGGGACTTGCGGTTCCAGTTCGTGGCTTGTTCGACCATCGCGACTTAGTCCGGGCTTGAAACTCAGGTTGCGACTTGTTGATTTCTTCGTAACTCTGGGTGTGACTCTTCTACACAAACCAGATTCTTAGAAGTGCAATTTCCTTCTGATTTGTGAAGACTAGAACAAATTTTTGCATTGCTGTCACTTCGGCTTGATTTGGGTAAACTGTTCCAACCTTTATTTGTTCCTTGGAACTATTCTGAATTGATATTGTGACCTGAATTGATACTGTGAGACACAATTTCTGGTTTTGATTTTTAGTTCTTCACATTGGGTTGCAATCTTGGTTCTTGGACCATTGAATCTTGATTACCTAAATCTTGTTCTAGAATCTTGTTCTTGTTTTCAGGTTTGGCTTATATATGGGTTGAATTTTGTTGATCTTTATACCTTGCATATTGCATTGCTTGTATATGGCTCAACAAGATCGAGGTTATTGAGGTGGCCGTGGTAGAGCTTATGTTCCGACTTTGGGTGAAGAAATCGAGATTAATCCCTCAATTGAAAGGAACATTGGAAACCAAAATCAACAAAATGAGATTAAAGAGTTGAGTTCACAAATGGCTACCTTGGTTGGAAAGGTGCAACACTTACAACTTCATCCCAAAGGTAGTAATGGTTCCAAGGATCATCAACTTGATGATTTCTTTGATGCTCTGCGTAGGTGTAAGCATATTCACACGAGTTACATTCTGAGTGGAATGACACCGTCACGGATTTATTGTTTCTCGAATTCTGTGGAAGCTACAATCCAAATGTGTTCGAGGAATGGTTGAAGACAATTGAGAGTAACTTGGAGTGTAATGATGTGCCAGAAGTAAAGAAGGTGAAATTAGTCTGTTAAAGCCTCAAAGGTCGTGCCTCCAATTGGTGGAAACAATTACAAATTGGTAGGCAAAGAAAAGGCCAAGAAAAGGTTAGAGAGTGGAGGAAGATGAGGAAGAAGCTCAATGAGCACTTCTTGCCTTCTACTCACATGTCACCTTTGCTGGTCAGGAAGCACCAAAAGAAGGGCATTTCAAATTTCAGACATCAATACCAAAGAGACTTGGCAATTGGACAACCATCCTATGACTATGTACAAGTTGGTTCCTCAACTAGTGTGGGAATGAAAGAGACTTTTGATGATAGATATCATAAGATGCTCTTTAGTGATGAGGTGGTTCAACCAAGTTAGGATGAAGAAGTGGAAGAAAGTAGTGATCATGGGCAAGATTATGATCCGGATGTTCCTATCTTTGATGTTAGAGCTTCTATCTTTAGTGGAGAAGATTATGATCAAACACAAGGTTGTGATCAAGATGTTCCTATCTTTGATGCGGAATGAGGATATGATGAAAATGCTTCCATCTTTGATGAACCAATGAGTGGGCGTTCAATTATGATGAAGTTAATGTTCATGACTGTGAAAAGAAAGTTGATGTTTGTGCATATGGAGGAGCTCCAATCTTTGACAACTATGGTGATGAGGATGACCTTGTAGAGAGCAGAGGTGTACTTGAAGATGAAGAAAGTTTTGTAGATGGAGCAAGTTTTGTTCTCACATTGTTTCCCATGAAAGAAGTGGTTGCAATCCCACCTTCTATTCCTTTTCTAGATTCCACGAAAATTATGGTGGAGTCATGACATTGAAGTTTCATGGGTGTTGAATGATTTTTGCTTTTGAGAAATGCCTCTTATGCTATCTTTTTGTTCCACTTTGTGTTGACTTGGTACCCGACGTGGCTTCGTGGAGGAAGGATGCGTTTATTTTGGGCCCATGCGGGAAGCGTTATTTTGATGACATCTTGTTTCCAAAATGGCATGCTACATGGGTGGCCTATTCACACCTCAACATGGCTTCGGTTGCTGTCCATAAACAAGAAATCGTTTTGATGGAAGCGTTTTTGCGAGGGTGATCTTGAATACGGACTTGCAACTACTTAATCTTATTCGCCATTGCATGTCCATCATGTTTACATAAGATGATATTTGGCTTACGTATGTCCTTTACCATTGTCATGCCATCTGGGTTATGGAAGTGCATTGATAGTGTGATGCTCATTTGATGGAATATTTTGATTCTTATAACTCTCCAGAGGAGACTTTTTTGCAGCCAAGAAGAAATGATGGTGACAGAAAAGGAATTGGATAAAGAATTTTTATTGTATCTTCCTTATTTATTATTTGAGAGATTTTATTATTTAGTAATTAATTAAAAGGCTTTTTTAATTTAATTAGGAAGTCTTATTTTATTAGTAAGTTTGTTAATTTGAAAACTATTATAATTTAGGGTTTTTGCTGCCTATAAATAGGCCTTCATGCAGGAGGTTTTGGACTGCTTTGAATGAATAAGAAATATTGAGAGCTTATTTTGAGTATTTTATGGTTTTTCTTATTTTTCTAGTGTGTTTTTTTTTTTTTACTTTCTTCATTGATCTTGTTTTGTCCTAGCCATCCTACATCATTGACCTTGCTTAAGCAATTCTTTTAAGCTCACCAAGAATCTAACATTTTCCCTATACTATTTACATTTCTCGACACCTTTTTACTTTGGACCATCCATGTGTTGTATTTTTTTTTTGGGTGAACAAGTTATAAATAAAAAGGAGGAAAAATACAAGATTACAATGGGAATACCCCAGGCCCTACAAGAAAGCAATACAAAGGCGAAACACCAACTAATACAGCAAAAGAACAAAGGCAAGCAGCCAAAACCAAAAGAAACTAGAAGCTAGAAAGCTATAAATCTATAAGCAAAACTAAGACGTAGGAACAATAGAAACAGAACAAGGAACTGGAATTGGGCAGAGGATGATAAGCTCTAAGGTGTGAACTGTTCATCGACCCCATCAATAATAGATGCGGATTATGAACAACTCCAAAATAAGAGCCTTTAACAATGATGCCAAACTGAATAATATGGCAGTCTTCTTTGGATCCCAACCACCAAAAAACCAATCTAGCATAGGCTTCCTTCCACATACATACAGCAAAGGTGTAAACAAAAGGCACTGACCAACTGCAGCCATTGTTGGAATCAGTGTTTTAAAAGGCTCTAGGCGCACCGAGGCGATAAGGTCTCCTATAGCCTAAGCGCGAAGCGAGGTGCGCCGAACCGGAGCGAGGCGCAAGTAGTAGAAGAAAAGCAAAATTATAAAATAGACAAAATTTTAACTTAACAAATATATATAGAATTCCAAAAATCATAAAGCAAGCTTCGCCATTTCAAATAATTGATAAACATAGCATTCAATCTTTTAAAAACTAGAAATATAATATCCAACAAAAGATATAAAGTATCACATTCACAACCACTAAAAACCTCAACTTTTAAGACCATCCACATGAAGTTCAAAACAACTAAGCTTCTAGTTTGCAATTCTAAAAAGAAATAAAAAGCATTTAATCAACAGTTGGAGTAGAAAAATAGGTAAAACCCATGAAGCCCATGCTTCGCGCCTCAAAAAAAAAAAAGCTACACAGCTCGTATGGGAGGGCAAAGATTGTATCCTTGGCTCCAGAGTGCCCCATTACTCCTCATCTGGGATTTCTTTCTCTTGTGATCTTTTTTCATTTTACAAGCTTTAAATTCAATTTTAGGTAGCACCACAATGGGGGTGTTTGGTGGGGATTTTTTCACCCAAATTATAGGTTTTAGCTTTTAAAATGCTAAATTGGACTGTTTATTACAGATTATTCAAAACAACTTCAGCTTATAACAGCATTTTTTGTGTACAAAAATCTGATTATGAGAATCAGCTAACTAGCCATTTCTGATTCACCGCTTATGTGGTGAGTCTTGTACTTTACTTAAATACCCCTGCCCT